TTGCCACCAGGCATTTCCGATGCCTGACAGCCCCGTCCGTCCCACTGTGGAACAGCGTTTCATAGGGTTTTCCCTCTTGTCCTCTTCCCGGGAGCTGCCTGCCGGACCTTTCGTCTTGGAGCCAGTGGGTGGGTTAGCAGCTGGTCACAAACTGTTTGTGCCACCCAGGTTCCTACAAGCCAGGTCACAGCCCGCACCAAGGCACCTCAGCAGGGCCTTCTCTGTACGTCTCCAGCTTCGGGGATCTGGGCCACTGACGCTGAGCTTGGTGCCGGCTTCTGGAATCATGCCCTTGAGTCCATGCAGATGCCTGTGCCCCGAGGGCACGGGGGCCCTGCTGGGTGCCAAGGCGTGTCCTTGGTCCCTGGCCTTGGTCCAGCCAGTCTGTCAGCCAGGCAGCAGGGAGTGACCAGCTGCGAGGTGTGCGGAGATGCACAAGTGCTGTCCTCACGGGGTCATCTTTGCCCTGTCAAAGGTCTCCCAGAGGACGTTTGCGATCGACTACAGCCAGGACAGCTTCCTCAAGGATGGCCAGCGCTTTCGCTACGTCTCGGGGAGCATTCACTACCACCGCATCCCCAGCTTCTACTGGAAAGACCGGCTGCTGAAGATGAGGATGGCCGGGCTGAACGCCATCCAGATGTAAGTCGAAGGGCACTGGGCTGGGCACTGCCTGCTGGGAGAGGTACCACAGCACTCCTGGGGAGCAGCTACTTCACGGCCTAGCCCTAAGACAGAGCGCAGGGAGGCTTTCATGAGTTTGGCTGGTCCCTCTTCAGGCAATGAATGACTTCTTCCAAACTGGAACTGTGGTCCCCAGAAATCATAAGAGATTACCCACTTCAGAAACAAAGGGGAGGAGCAGTGAGTGAGCATACTCCACGCAGGGCACGGAGCGCTGAGCGGGCGTTTTCACGGTGCTCAATGACTGGTGGGAGTGCCGTTGGCCCCAGGGCCTACTTGGGTCAGAGGCCCAGCCAGGACTGAAACTTGAAAGGTTTGTAGGGAGAATGTGAGCTGATACGGCAGACTCCTGAAACCCAGTTGGATGTTCTTGGTTCTGCTGGGGGAATGCTATCACCCCAGGCTATAGAATTACCCAGTGGCTCTCTTTCTCCCCTCCTCTTTTCGCCTCTGCTCTGTGGCAAGATAGTATTGGAGGTTTTTCTAGTTATATTTTAAAAGTCCTCCCCCCCCCCGAAAAAAATAAGTATACTTCTTTTTTTTTAAGCATATTTCTTATCTTCTATTTCAACATAGACATTTTTATTTTCCTAAAGCAGCATATCTATAGAAACCCATGATCCGTATGTGGTCGTGCTTAATACAACTGTGTGTGCTTATGTTGGTTTAATGAGTTCTGGTGGCGTAGTGGTTATGCTTGGGGCTTCTAACCACAGGTCCGAAGTTTGAAACCAACAGTCACTCCTTGGGAGAAAAATGGGCCTTTCTACTCCCGTAAACAGTTATAGTCTTGGAAACCCACAGGGGCAGTTGTGTTGTGTCCTACAGGGTTAGCATGTGTTGGAAACGACATGTAACAAAAGAAAAACTGTATTTGCAAGCACAGTTCCCTTCACAGGTATGGGGGTACGCCTTCAACGTTATATTTTGGTGAGGGGCACAACGTGATCCTTTACAACTTATTCATAAAATAACTCGCTTGATAGTTAAGCTGATCTTAAGACCACTGGTAGAATGATCCTGGCACCGGAACTGGGGACACTGGAATTCCAGAGTATGGTAACAATCCTTTTTAGAAGAATTAATACCAGACTAATGCCAAAGAGTTGGGGATGGATGATGCCCCAAATGTCCAACACTTCCATGATGCTATTCAGCTGCGTACCCCTTCCCCCCACAGCCATCCCACTTCTCCCACGAGTATATTCCCTCACATTTCTGGGTTCTGTTCATCGCTGCAGTGTCGCACAGAAACTCATGGGAGTTTGAGAAAACATCTCACATGGTGCTGTTCAGTCCAAAATATGAGGATGTGCAGAAGTTAGCCAAATGCGGGGTGCAGGGGAGACACGCCACTCCTGGCTCACAGCCCTGCCTCTCAGGGGGCTCATTTCATACCAAGCAGGATGGCTTTGTTGCAGGGACTCCTGTTCACAATCACTCACAGGCGAATCCTATCAGCATCTTCCTCACCTTCTTACCCGACCCAGGCAGGGAAAGGCCGTTTGATGGGAGCAACATGGGGGGAATCAATGATCAATCACATTAACCTATAACCTTTCACCTTTTTAATGATACCCAAGTATAATAATAATCATCTATTCTCCACCCCTGGACTGTATCGTAGGTATGCACATATGAGCTGGGGCCTCTGGCAGGAGGTTTCCAGTAGGCATGCCCAAAAAACAAAACAAAACAAACCCCAATCCAAACTCACCGCCATCAGTTGTTGCCGACTCATAGATCCTACTGACCTTACTCAGCAGGCGCTCCCCCAGCCACGGCCGACTCATAGATCCTTACTGACCTTACTCAGCCAGGCGTCCCCCAGCCACGCCCGCAGCAGCCCTTCTCCTCGCATCCATTACAAGGAACAGGAATCAAGATAATCACCAAGCAAAGAGTGTGGCCCAAATCACAACCCTGTACTAAGGTCAGATCTTCGTCTCATCCTGTTCCTGTTCATCACCAGATAACCAACCAAACTCACTGCCATTCCAGTCTCTTCCCACTCATAGTGCTCTTGTAAGGGCAAGATGGAACTGCCCCTGTAGGTGTCCTAGACTGTAACTCTTTATGGGAGTAGAAAGCCTCATCTTTCTCCTGTGGAGCCGCTGGTAGTTTTGAACTACAGACCATGTGGTTAGCAGCCTAACGCATAACCCAGTACGCCACCAGGGCACGTTAGCAAATGTCCTGGAATGTGGTACTATAGCCACAGGTGTGTGAAGTCAACGTTATAAGTAGAACGCCGGACCTCGACACTAGTCAAGTTCTGAATCAATTTTTCCCATAAGATATAACTGAAAATGGATTAATCCACTCTCGACCACCAAGTTTTTATTCCAACCTTGCCTTTTTATACAAAACATTGCACAGAAATTTCAAAGTAAATAAGTTCAGAGTTCAATAGTATAATTTAAATAAGAAACAACCTTCAAAAAGTTTTAACAACTGCAGTATGGCCCTTTCCTTGAGACGGATGAGGATCTGGATCTGTGGACACGGATGTGGAGAGGAGGGATGGAGAGAGAGTCACTGTTTGGAAGGGGAATCCCCTTCCATCGAATCAACTGGCAGCTGCTTTTCAGGAGGTTTTTCCCTTCTTGGTCTTTTTTCACTAGGACCTGGCTGGCTTTCTCTAAAAATAAATAAATAGACTTTTAAAAATCTGCCTACTGCGGTCTGCT